ATTCAATGATATTAATGAGATTTTCCTATTATTTAACCATTCATTCAGGGCAACGAATTGAGATAATCTTGTAAGGTTCGTTGCTCTTCTTTTTGATGCTCTCAAGTCCTAAAATCCCAGTAGACATTTACTTTGAACTCGTAAAAAAACTGTCTTTTAGGTTACCGTTAAACGCAGCATTGACCCATCAGCTTCCTATCCGCTAATTACTGATGACCGACTGCCGAAAGATGTTATTCCCCAGAGCTATGATATTTATTTAGAACCGAAAATTGAAGAAAATACATTCTCTGGTAATATAAAAATGAATTTGACGTGGAAATCGGACTCAAAGAAAATTTCGATTCACGCTCACTTTAATTTGGATATAAATGACAAGAAAATTGTACTACGAAAAATAAATACAAATAATAGGTATGTGTCATGGCTTGAGGGTCAAATATGAAATTGAATATTCATCAATTCTGTTTCTTTAGTGATTCGCAGTTATCTGAAAACATATCAGTTGTGCGTGGGAGTCGATTTCCGAAGAAGACAATCTATATCATTTACCTGAAAGAAGCCATTAAACAAGGCAGTGAATGTATTTTGGAAATTCCGTTTGAAGGAAGCATTTGGGAGAGTGGCGAAGGACTATTCAAAGGATCCTATTCAAATTGGACTTATTTAGCCACTTACCTACGACCGAATAACGCTCGACGGCTGTTTCCCTGCTTCGATGAACCCGGATTCAAAGTATTCTTAATAGAAATTAAAAATATTTATTAAATATTATTTACAAATAAATTATATTTATAGGTTCCATTTACGGTCTCCATTACGAGACCAAGCCATTTAATTACGATTTTCAACACTCCGCTTAATCGAACGATAAATCAGTAAGTATAAAATCATGTGTAATATGGGAAGTATGTTTAAAGAAATCTTAAATTAATAAATTAATAATAATGAAAATGAAGAAGACTTAATCAGCTAAAAATAGAACTGCAATCAAATTGGTTTTCAGAGATAACAATAATAGCAATAGAGTAAAAGTAAAGCTAAGAGAGACTTTATTTTTATATAAATTGAAATATAATTTTAAATGCTTTAATTTACTGAGTTAATTTACCTCTATCTTCTTTAAATAATTTTAATTCAAACTAATCCATAATATTCAAGAACCTGTTGCTTTAAAACTAATTAAACATTTTCCATTTGTTTAAAGATTGTAAATTGTATACCCAAACATTAAAAAAAAATTGAAATCATATGAAAAATTGGAGTCTTATAAAAAAGATTACATTCTCCACTCACATCTTCCTAATATCATTGTCAACCTTTGGTCTTTGGCTTTCAGTATCCTTACTGAAATGCAACTTAAATTATATCCTTAAACGTCATATCTGGAAAGCATATATACATTTATAATGCATATAGTTTTGTATTTTTCATTGCAGCTCTACATTAAAAGATCATGTAATTGACTATTTCGATACCACCCCTCCGATGTCTGCCTTTACATTTGGTTTTGTGACGGCAAATCTTATAAAATTACAAAATGAGATTAAACTTGATGCAGATTCAACAATCCAAACAGAACCAGCATTAAGTCTTTGGGGATTTGAAGATAATGCAAACCAATTTAAGGTAAAGATAATTATAATAATCTTAAATTATGTTTTTAAATTTGTTGGTATATTTCTTAGGAAATCCATCAAAAAGTTATAATTGTTCACAAAGCAATTCAAAGATATTTTGATATATCTTTGCCTTTATCTAAAATCGATGTGGTTGTCATTCCTGAGCTACAAGTAGTGCGCCCCGTAGATAATTGGGGACTTCTGCTGTTTAAGTAATAACAACTCCCTAAAACATAAAAAATGTATTAATAATTGATAATATTTTTGAATAGAGAAAGCGATCTTACGCAAAATCGTTATTATGACATAGCACAGGAGTTGATATATCAATGGATAGGCTCGTGGGTGACTCCTGAGTGGTGGACTGATGCCCATCTAAACAAGGCCCTGGCCAGCTTCTTAGCTGCAGATATTGTCTTTAAGGTGAGAAATAACATTTCATAAATACAAATGCAAATTGCAATAAATAAAATATATATATAGATAGATGGTGGCATCGAGTTCAATGGCAAATATCCTATGACGACGCTATATTCAATATATTACGAGTTTAGTAAAAGATACCCCCATTCCCGCATTACAGCAATGAAGCAAGAGACAATATCGTACAAATTAGAGCTTGTTATCCGCATGCTAAACTTTACTTTGGGCAAAGACTCGTTCCAAAGGGGTCTCAGAACATTCATTGAAGAGCATCAGTTTAAGACTTTTGTTGGAAATGATCTTTGGAGTGCGCTAACCAAGCAGGCGATAAAGGATGGAACGCTAAACAGTCAATATCATGTGGACGACATTGTCGACTCGTGGTTTGCAATTCATCGCTTACCTGTCGTAACTGTTCGCAGAGATTATGAGAAACAAACCGCAGTGGTACAGCAAAAACTCTACCTCAGGGAGAGACCACACGACGTGCCTGAACAGGAGAAAATGCTTTGGTGGATTCCAATTGTTCTGAATCGCCAAGATGCACTCAATTTCTCAAATTGCACTCCATACGTGTGGATGGAAAGGTCTCGGGAAATGACAATTGATAACATGCCACCCAGTGACCAATTTATTATTGTCAACCAAGAAGAAATAGGTCCATTTCCAGTCAATTACGATGAACGAAATTGGCAAATGCTCTCCAACTTTTTACAAACTGAAATCGGCCGAGCTCTGGTTCCAACCTACACGAGGTGAGCTTCCAAAATCCTTTTCCAACTGCATGTATTTCAAATTAAGTCCTGCTGATAGTTAAAAAAATTTCTATGAGTTCTATAAAATATGGTAAGTCTGTGCTCAGTGCAAGTTTAAATTGTTCGATATGTACACTTTTTACGCTTTCAGGTCAAAACTTTTGCACGATGCTTGGAATCTCGCATATGCTGGCGATTTGAGTTTTGCAACGGCCCTCAACATGACACTATTTATGAAATTTGAACGAAATCACATTGTATGGAATCCGGTGTTCACGTTTATTGATCAAATTGGTCGGCATATTGATATGCCAGAAGTCCATAAGAGATTTGAGGCAACTAACAAAATGTGCAGCATAAAACGCGAACAGCATTAATAAGAGCACAGTTTATTATTTTCAGGAATATGTCTTAATACTGCTTACACCTTTATATGAAGATTTGGGTGCGGAAACAGAAGGCGAAGATAACTGGAAAACTGATTTGCGCTCATTGACCAAGAGATTTTTGTGTGGCGCCGGTTATCGACCCTGTATAGAAGAAGCAAAAAATGCGTTCAGTGTCTGGCAACACCTACCCGATCCAAACTTGGAGAATCCGTCAGTATCCCTATCCATATCCACATAGTATTTTTTGTAAATCCTTTCATTATCCCAGAGTGCCAAATCATTATATTTGTCCCATTTTTAAATGGGGATCCATGGAAGAGTTTCAGTTCGGCATAGAGCGAGTCCTTCAATTCCCAAAATCACGTAAGCAGAACGAGCGAACTTATTTATTGAAGACTCTGGCCGGTTGTCCAACGCAGCCTGAGAAGATTATTCGACTGCTAGAGCAATCGACTCTAGGAGACAACTCCAACTTTACCGAAAACGATCAGTTCCTAATATACTCCTCACTCACGGCTACCTCCAGTGGCCATTACACATTATTAAAATTCTTATCTAGCAACTGGACGACGATACGAGAGAAGTAAGTACATTTATATTCATATTTTACTAACTGGAAATAAAGTCGTATATAGATTATATTTTAAAAATAAAAATATTAGATAGTAGAGTAGTAGAGTATTTGTTGTCCGATCACTAAGAAAAAAGAAGAGTATATAATAAATGATATATTTTATAATTGAGAGATTTAATAGAAATTAATTTAGATGAACAAAAACTGATATAAAAGCACATAAATGCTTAGTGCAAAATTATTTAACAAAATTATATATATGCTCGTAAATGTTTGATTATAAATGGAATAACTTTGACTCAAAGATTTTATTTAAAAACTTTGGAATACATTATATTATTTATTTTCCATTTAATTTAAATTTAAAAAAATATGGAAAATTTTTCAATTATTTTTTTCTTCTTTTTTTTTAAGGCAGAATTATAAATTTTCTCGAAATTTAATATATTAATTATTGATTATTAATTTGTATCTTTCAAAATTTGTAAACTCAAAATTCAATTGTCTGCAGATATTCTTTTATGATAGACAACAGCACTCTATACCCTCGCCTACTGCGAATGAGAAAAATCTGTAAGAATGATGTTGACTTCTCTCACGAAAAATGAAAAATAAAAATCGCCAAGCATAATGGCAATATAGAAAATCGGAAAAAATCTATATATTCCTGAATTTCTATAAATATAATAAAAAAACGCTAAAAGGTTACTGGCATTATATTGCTTAAAAGCAAGCCTGATCGAATTTTTTATAAGACTTCAATTAACTTAGAAACACAAATATTAAAATTAACTATATTTTCCCCAAATAACAAATCAAATTGAATCTATAATTATATACAATATCTAAAAGCATATATATAATTAATTAAATATTATATTTTCAGATTAATAAGTAATACGAACTTGTGGGACCATTTGATAGGCTCGGCCACTGGATTCTTTTTAACTCAAAAAGGTTACAACATGGTGCAGCAGCTTTATGAAGAGCATGCTGGAGAATTCGGAAGCGCACAACATATAATAGAAAAGTCACTTCGGAACATAAAAGAAGAAGTTCTGTGGAGTGAAGAGAATCTGCCGGTCATCGAAACTTGGCTAAACAACTTTCTTTCCAAAAACTCAAATAACTCTTCATAAGAAATCAGAAAATATCAAATTATTTGAGTACTTGTGTTAAATAATGATGGAAGAAGAAGAAATAAACATATAAAATATATAAATAAATGTTTTGCATATTGATTTGCATATTTTAGTAAAGATTTTATTTATTTTGTTGTAAAAAATCGTAGGTTTGTTATGCAGAGTGTGAAATATGATCCTTCTTCTACTTGATTCTTCTTTAGATATACGTCATCTCTTAGTACTCGTCACCTTCGTCTACCTCGGTGGTGGAATCAATTCCGACCTCTTCATAGTCCTTCTCAAGTGCAGCCAGATCCTCTCGAGCTTCGGCGAATTCACCTTCCTCCATGCCCTCGCCCACGTACCAGTGAACAAAAGCACGCTTGGCATACATCAAATCGAACTTATGATCCAATCGAGCCCAGGCCTCAGCAATGGCCGTGGTGTTGGACAACATGCAGACCGCACGTTGAACTTTCGCTAAGTCGCCGCCAGGCACCACAGTGGGTGGCTGATAATTGATGCCCACTTTGAAGCCAGTTGGGCACCAGTCGACGAATTGAATTGAGCGCTTGGTCTTGATTGTTGCGATGGCCGCATTCACATCTTTAGGCACCACATCACCGCGGTAGAGCATGCAGCATGCCATATACTTGCCATGCCTTGGGTCACACTTGACCATCTGGTTTGCGGGCTCGAAGCAAGCGTTTGTTATTTCAGCCACAGTTAATTGCTCGTGATAAGCTTTCTCAACGGAAATGACGGGAGCATATGTAGCCAAAGGAAAATGAATGCGTGGGTAGGGGACTAAATTGGTTTGGAACTCTGTTAGGTCAACATTGAGTGCTCCGTCGAAGCGCAACGATGCTGTTATTGAGGAAACTATTTGGCCAATTAAGCGATTTAGGTTCATATAGGTGGGTCGCTCGATGTCTAAGTTCCGACGACAAATGTCATATATGGCCTCATTGTCAACCATAAATGCGCAGTCTGAGTGCTCCAGGGTGGTGTGGGTGGTTAAAATCGAATTGTATGGCTCAACGACAGCAGTTGAAACCTTGAAACGATACGAAATAATGTGTTAAAAATACATACATATATGAACATAAATGTACTCTATATATGTATGTAAATTTTGGGTGTGTTCACACAGATTTTTCTGATTATATCATCAATTATTTATGTCACTTACTTGTGGTGCTGGATAAATGGAAAACTCCAATTTGGATTTCTTTCCATAATCAACTGATAAACGCTCCATAAGCAACGATGTGAATCCGGAGCCAGTTCCTCCGCCGAATGAGTGGAAAACCAAAAATCCCTGAAGACCCGTGCATTGATCGGCCAGCTTGCGGATGCGATCCAGCACAATGTCCACAATCTCCTTTCCGATCGTGTAGTGCCCACGAGCATAGTTGTTAGCCGCGTCCTCCTTGCCAGTGATCAACTGCTCCGGGTGGAACAGCTGGCGATAGGTGCCGGTGCGCACCTCATCAACCACAGTTGGCTCCAAGTCGACGAACACTGCGCGTGGCACATGCTTTCCGGCACTAGTTTCGCTAAAGAAAGTATTGAAGGAATCATCGCCACCACCAACTGTTTTATCAGAGGGCATATGACCGTCAGGCTGAATTCCATGCTCCAGGCAGTATAACTCCCAGCAAGCGTTGCCAATCTGAACTCCAGCTTGTCCAATATGAACTGAAATGCACTCCCTCTGCAAATAAAAAGAAGATAATTTAATATAGAACTACATAGAAATGTGCAGTTCAGCAGACCGTGAAGTACTTCTATCAATATATAGGTGTGGGCACATTTTCGTAAGTATTTATATAAATGTATATATAGAATTATACGAATAATGTATATACATATAAAAAGTGAGTTTTTCAATTATTTTATATAAATATACAAAATAAATCTGAGTCCATCAGTAAAATGTAAAATTATTATATTGTTTAATAAGTTGTAAACTTATTTAATTATTTCTGTATATGAAACACAATAAAGCCTTGTGTATATTTAGATGATATCATAGAAATGCAAAGGAGTCTGGAGTCATAATTATTATTACTTTATAGCAATCGTATGTTAGCTAAATACTATAAATCATTATTTATTACTGATTTATTAAATATGTACACATATATATTTAAAAAATAAATTTTTTTAATATATGATAATTCTTTTAAATATATATTATTTATAAATTATAAATTTCAATATTAATTCAAGAATTATATAATTAATTGAGCGTTATATTAAATATAGGGAAAATATATTTCGATTTTGAAATAAATATTATAAGTTTATTGATTTTTTTTTTACTTTCACAGTAAAGTATAAAAATGTAATTTTTCCCATTTAAAATTGAAAGTTTTAAAATAAAATGAAAAATGAATTAAATCGTGAATCAACAAAACTTACAATCTTCATTTAAAATTAAAAAAAAAAAAATTAACTTACATATTTGAGATTGACTTACCATATTTTATTTTTATGGATACAGCAATAAGAGGATCAAAGGAACGATATTTAAATGTCTTTTAGAACAAAGAACAGGCAGCAAATGGAATAAAAATGGTAATCTGGTAATTATCCAAACTTTTGTCCGTAATGAAACACAGCTGGAAATCAACTATTCGAGACATCTGCTCAGCACGCCTTTTTATAGTCGAGCGAATTTCTTATATGGGCATTTTTCGAAGCACGATCTTCGAGGGCTGCTCTGCCACTTGCCGAATGCTTTCGGATGCCCAGTTGTTGAGCATTGAAGTTCAGTGATGCGTTTAATTTAATGTCTCGAATCAAGAAATGCGCTATGATATGTACTCTTCTTTGTGCAATATACTCTTATGTGTTTATAAATCAATAAACTTTACTTTATAATAAGAAAAAAATACTTTGAATAAGCTAATAACAAAATACTTTTATTATAAGGTTTAAATATAATGTTCACATTTTTCTACACGTTCCCATGATCAAAATGATATGGTGAATAAATATATCAGGAGGGTGTGGCAAACCGAGTAAGACTGAGTTATTATTAAGGTTAGTTAAAAAGTAAAGAATATAATCAATGTGAAGTATGTGGTAAATCGAATCTGATTATACATGTGTTGATGCTGAAACCAATTCACAAGTTGAAATGGGCACGTGAGTCACTTGATAGCGGGCATCGTGTAGACAGTGATGTAGATGACCTAGGTCTCCTCACAACAGATATTGATAAACAAGACAACTATTTTTGTTTTCACCATTAATACCAACACTAATTTAATTCAACACACCTGAACAGCGATGTGCACCGTAATCAACTAGCAAAACATATAGTCGGCTTGCAAAAGAGGAACATTAGGGGCAACTGCGGCAAAACAATCAGGTGCAAGGAATAGATGTAATCCTTTTCAATGCATTAAATGTTCATGGGTTTCCCAGCTATTGTGACTGTCATCTATATCTCAATTGCAGTCATGCCGCTACCGCGCAATTAAAACTATGGACTCTGAAAGAGCCAGATAAGTTTTAGATATAAACTTACTTATAAAGCCATTAGGAGGCAGCAAGCCTGATCAAATTATCCTATCCCAACAGTTTGTATTCTACTGTGCAGTAGTATATTAAAATTAAAATAAAATTGTAGCTCATAAGGAGCAAATAAACACAGTGTGTAATAAATATATACATATAATACCCATATCTGTACAATAAATCAATCGCATCTTGATGATAATACTGTTGTTCGAATATTAATTTTTATTATTAATTATAATTGTTTCACGATTTTATTTTTAAATGCGTATGTCTAGTTGTTATTGACATTAGGATCCAGTCTGCCAAAATAAATAAATAATACCATCATTTCAATTGGAAATTACAAGACTAGACATTCGTCAATAGTTGAGATTACGAATATGATTTGTTCTTTAGCTTTTTTAGGAATTCCTTTGCTTGCTTATCACCTTGTCTATACTCCAGAGCTCGTAGTGAAAGTGAATCTTAAAGAAATAGAAATATAAAAAATAAATTGTTAAATTTATTTTCAGCCTGTTTCAATTAAGTACTTACCTGTATACTCTGGTCTACATAGATTCATCAGAATCTGTTCGCCCTCAGCTGCGATAAGATCTGCAAACGTTATATAGCATTCAGCTATATATTGACTTGACATTCCAAATAAATCTTTATCCTTAACACAAAATAAAATCAAACTATCTTCCATCTGGCGTTGTTCTGGAGTCAAATGTCTAATTTATATAAATTAGTATATTGTATTAATATGTTTTTCCTCTGTCAAAAATAAATTTCACTTACATTTTAAACTGTTCATCATAAAGGGGAAAACAATTTTTGTTATGAACGGCAGTTTTGAGGGGTGTAAATCCGTTAAATCTTATATTGGGAATCATAAAGACTTTGACGAATGAATCACATAATCCATTTTTATCCATAGATACCAAATTACGAGCATTTAATATTGTCAGCTAAAATTAAATCAAATTGTTATTCATCTCATTATGTTACGTAAAACTTAGGCTAACATGGTGAAGGGAAGCGTCGGCTTCGAATATAAATATACTGGGCACTATACTCCAAAATCTATATCTGTATCCGTGTCTGTTAAACTGCATCTGCATCCCTATCTGTGAATCTGTACCTATGTAAATGTATCTGAGCATCTGTATCTATGTATCTGTATCTGTGTATCTGTAGCTGTGTATCTGTATCTGTGTATCTGTATCTAAGCATCTGTATTTGTATCTGTATCTATGTATCTGTATCTGTGTATCTGTATCTGTATATCTGTATCTGTGTATCTGTATCAGTGTATATGTAACTGTGTATCTTTATCTATGTATCTGTGACTATGTATCTGTTTCTGTGTATCTGTATCTGTGTATCTGTATCTATGTATCTGTATCTATGTATGACTATGTATCTGTTTCTGTATATCTGTATCTGTATCTGTATATGTGTATATATTCTGTGAATCGGTATCTGTGTAAATGTATCTGTGCATCTGTATCTATGTATCTATATCTATGTATCTGTATTTATGTATCTAGGTATATGTACCTGTATCTGTGTACCTGTATCTGTATATATGTATCTGTGTATCTGTATCTAAGCATATATGTTTTGTATCTTATCTGTATCTGGGTATATGTATCTGCATCTGTGTATCTGTATCTAAGTACCTGTATGTGTATCTGTATCTATGTATTTGTGACTATGTATCTGCGACTATGTATCTGTATCTGTGTATATGTTTGTTACGTATTTTATATGTGTGTAGTTAAGTTGGTTAATTGGTAATACTCACGACTAATCCAGAGTCTGAAAATTGTGCGCTAATTGTAAGTTGTCCAAAGGGTGACGTCTCTTGCTGTTTCTGGTATTTAAATCGTTCTAGATAGTATTGGTGAATAAGATCAGCCGTTTCGAGAGCATGCAGTTCAAGAGTGTTTTCGATTTCTGATAAAATTTTAACATCAGATGTTTTTGTATCCCCAATCTTAAAACTGGAAATCATAGTATGTAGAGTGGCCCTTAAGTTTTGAAAGAATGCTGGTGGACGGCGTTTCTAAGGGATCACATAAAAGAATGTAATAGTAAAATAAATGTACAGAACTTAAGTCACACTTACATCGAGATTGGATTGTACAAGATCATAAATAATTATTGATAGCTCTTCCCAAATACTATCTAAAACTCTTTTGAAGTTGACTTCATTTAGATTAACATAAAGGGTCTGCAATGATCCGTCCAGGTACATCATCAGTCTTTCCATGGAATTTGAGTTCTCGTGAAGTACTTCAGCTCCTTCTGTTAAATATCGCCGAATCGATGGAGACATCCTGCGAGCAACATATTCGATAAGCTCAACAATTTGATTGCGCTGTGTATCAAGAGCATTATCGATAACAGCTTTTATAGTAGAGGCACAGCGTTGGGCATCCAGGTAGGTTTTGTAATCTCCCAAGCGTCGTATCACAGTATCTGTACCCAGCTCCTACAAAAATATAGGTACATACAATACAAAATAATACTGAATAATACTAATATATAAAACTAACTTTATCATGATTAAACTTTTCTACTATGTTTTTTTATAATATTAAATTGAGTCAATTACTTAAAGTCCTTTTTTAAACAGTGAAGCAATTCATAATATCTAACTACCTTTACATACCTTTATAAATGAGGGTAAACTTTGACGGATGTAGTCCATATTATTTATAGCCAAGCACCATTCCTCCGATAAATCTTACATAAAAATACCAAAAACGTTAAACGCGTATATTGAAAGCCTACCAACTCAACAACTTACTAAACATATCTCCATCCTGTTCTCTTTTGGTTATAGCTTCCACGCGGTGGGACATACGCTGTGCATAGAAAACGCAGCATCGGCATATATCCTGGGAAAGAGCGATATTTCAAAGCATATTTTCTATAAATTACTTTTGGGCAATTTACTTACATTAACGATTTTGGCCACAAACAAGTAGGATCCTTCTATATCTGGCCAATCCAGTTGTTGCCAAAATATCTTAATCTGGTAAAAAATCGCTAAGGTGTCGACTGCTGATGAACTATACTTAACCGTTTCATCTACAGCGTGGAGTTGGTCCAGGTCAATGGCTTTCTGGATGCGATTCAGGGCTTTAATAATTGAAATTTCAAGCCAATGAGTTACGCCTCTGTCAAACCACAAGTAAAATTCATTCATCTCCAGCTGACAGTTGGGACAGAGTGACTGTCCTGTAAAATGAAAATCAATATTAATACAAGATCATTAAATACGATCTCTTTAATTAATAATTACCTAGAGTATTATATCGCTTGAGTACCAAATAAACTTCAAATAATGTTGTTCCCATATTAACATTGTCAATATTTGGCAAATATTCAAAGTTATCGTCAGGAACATCCAACTTCTTAATGTTGGAACATACTTGCTCCACAATAGCTTTGCATATTTCTGTCAGCTTTGAATCGTAGAACATAAATAGTGTAGTGGAATAGCTGACCCGAATTTTGCTGAAAGACACAAGTATTTTAATACATATTTTAATACAGGTTTATTACTTTTATATAAAAAAAATACCAAATACAGATACTGCAGTATACAGCATACACACTCCTAATGAAATTCTCTCCACTTAAAAAATTTAGTTTAAATAACATTTTTCAAATTTAGGGTAATTTATATTCAATTCGAGGGCCCCCACAGTAAATTAACTGCTTTCATATTTTGTGCTATATCGATCTATATCTATAAAGATGAAATGGGATGTGTATATACAAAGAGTACACAAAGTAAATAGGATAGTCAGACATGGACATATCGACTCCGTTTTTTTTCCCGATTGTTCTATAAAAAGTTTGCGGTCCACTCCACCTGGGTCCAGAATAAAAATCAACCAGGGGACTTCCACAAATGCTACATATATACTGCTTTATTTAATGAACTTTGGAGAACTCTCGCTCTCACAGTTCCTACTTATCACACGAAATCGGTTTCATTAGTGAATATTCAGTGTCATAACATGGTAAGTTAGTTAATGAATGTCTGCGAATATGTTTATAGCCCATTCGATTTAAAAATTTATTGAAACCAAAAATGTACCAATTATGTGCACCATAA